GACTTTGTTTGGAGCGATGGCTTCGTTTGTGCTAGCTTATAGAACTCGAGACTTCTACAAAGGCGATGTATATAAGAAATACAGAGATGACATAGGGGTTACGCAGTCGAACGTGGAATTATATTCTGCCGATGATAGGAACAATGAACACAAAAAGATAACTGATGATCGAAGTAAATAAGAGAAACTGCTCAAGGTTTTGATTTTGTGTTGCAGATGTTTCATTCTTTTGTAAGTAAGGATTACTTGAATACGTGACCATTTATAAATATATTCTCAAAGACAATTGCATGACTAGTAAAACAAATTGTGGAAACGGGAGAAGGGAGTTTGAAATTTAATGTTTTTGAAAGATTTAGTGGTTCTGCCTTTTTATTTCTTACCATTGACTGACCTACTTAACATTGAGATATAGAAGATACAAACACTCCTGACTTGGAATGAAAATCGACTCGATAATTTCTATAATTTAAAAAACAATAGTTGATCAAATAGATTTTGATATAATTCAACAAAAATTTATAAAAAAAAGACATGTAGAAATCATTAACAAACATATAGAAAACAAAGTATATATTCAAAACATACAAATCTTATGCATGACTTAGATCTATGTTCTACCCTTACTCTTTTCTTGAACTTTAAATTAAAAATTGCAAGAGGACTGACAAATAGATATGGAAAAGTAAGATGAATTTTTTTTTTCTTGCAAACTTTAAAACAATAAAACATTTTTTTTTAAAAAAATATAAACCAATACATTTACCATTTTAGATTTAATTAAAAAACTAGCATGGAAAACAAAATACAAACTAAGTACCAAAAATCCTCCTTGGTGGCGGCATGACTCCCAAAAATTTTCCAGGTGGACCAATAAATAAACTATCACCTAGGTAATATCTTCGCAGCATAAATAAACTCAATAAGTAATCTACTTATTGCATCCATGACTTAGTTAGTTATTATTGGTTTTCGTCTCGAGTCCAGGAAGTTCAAACCTAGTACAACTATCTAAGCTTTTGGGAGTTCCTAAAGTACCTAAGGTAGTTTTCCTGCATGTCATAAACCAAAATGTGGTTTAGAGGAAGTTCACATAACCTGGTGCCGTAGGATCTCCTGAATGGCTTAATTGAGCTTTCGAGTGAACATCTTTCTTAACTAGCTTACATTGTCTAAGAAGTAAATTATCGGTTTCAATAGGAGCAACCTCACCAAACATAATAACATGAAAGATGATATGGTATCATGAATCTTGAACATCATTCATGCAAAGGTTAGCTGGTAACCCTCCACAAACCTTAACGTCCTGCTAAAATGGTGGAAAGACCTCGTGTGTAGACAAACTACTGAGTCTATTTAGAGACTCTTAACCATTTTCACACATGATAAGAGCATTAGCATGAAACAACCTCAATGCACTACTATATGACTAAAGGGTATTTTTAGGTCTATTTATGTCCCTAAGAGCATTAATAATTTCCTAGAGGGAATATAAAGTGATCTTGGCTCTAGTAATATCATTCACCGCTACTAATAGGCATGATAAGCGATCCACGTCCTCCTAAATGCTATAATTGTAAACTAGGTATTTAAGGGCATCTTAACGGTTTATAACTTACATTCTTGTTTTAAGGATTTTCTAGACTAATTCATGGGGTTAATCATAATCTAGGAGCACTAAAGTTCAGCTCTTTAAGCAATACTCATGATCCATGGGTTCTCGATTCACTGGAAATGTCCTAACATGATAATTGTGACATAACTCTAACTGAAAATTGAATTTCACGTTTCGCCAAGAGAGGGAGAGAGTTTTTCCGACGAGCCACGTGTCCGCTGGCGATAGAAGAAACGTGTCTGGACCAAAGAGGGACACAAGTCAAGTTTTGGGTGGAGCCACGATTCGTACGCAACATGGAGCAATGCAGCTTCGTCCTTTCCGTGACAGCCTGACCCAACCCACAAACTCGAGTACTAATCCACGACACAGCGAAGCAACCGAACCGCCGTCCAACCTGAACCGCCATCCGAAACCCAGTCAGTGACTCGCGACTGCAGATTTCTGCCCGCGCATGGCACTCGCTCGTGAGATCTGCAACTGGAATCCTCCTGGGTGCGTGGGGCGCGTGGCAGGTTTGTGTAAGCTCCTTTTTAGCCCGTTCGACTTCTTTTTGTTCGATTTTTATCCCGATTCTAATTCTTACCATATTTTTATATGTATTGGGACCTAATTCGAAAAAATCGATATTTTTGGACATGCTATTTGTGTAGAAATGCTAAATGAAGGGTATCTGTCAATTATCTAAGTCACCGTACCGATTTTTAGGAAGCAATACTTGTAGGGAACGCTTGGAATACATGCATGCTAGTGAATTTACCTTAGATGGTAACTTACCATGAATGAATTGAAGTAATGTGATTATATTGATTTTGGTTGTAATATGTGAAGCATTATGAGAATGGTCAGAGTGTTGCACTTATGCTTTAAACTTCCGCTATATATATATATATGTGTGTGTGTGTGTTTAATTCATGCTGAAAGAGATGAGAATTTGTGAACTCTGTGGCAAGTTTTTAAGNTAGATCTATGTTCTACCCTTACTCTTTTCTTGAACTTTAAATTAAAAATTGCAAGAGGACTGACAAATAGATATGGAAAAGTAAGATGAATTTTTTTTTTCTTGCAAACTTTAAAACAATAAAACATTTTTTTTTAAAAAAATATAAACCAATACATTTACCATTTTAGATTTAATTAAAAAACTAGCATGGAAAACAAAATACAAACTAAGTACCAAAAATCCTCCTTGGTGGCGGCATGACTCCCAAAAATTTTCCAGGTGGACCAATAAATAAACTATCACCTAGGTAATATCTTCGCAGCATAAATAAACTCAATAAGTAATCTACTTATTGCATCCATGACTTAGTTAGTTATTATTGGTTTTCGTCTCGAGTCCAGGAAGTTCAAACCTAGTACAACTATCTAAGCTTTTGGGAGTTCCTAAAGTACCTAAGGTAGTTTTCCTGCATGTCATAAACCAAAATGTGGTTTAGAGGAAGTTCACATAACCTGGTGCCGTAGGATCTCCTGAATGGCTTAATTGAGCTTTCGAGTGAACATCTTTCTTAACTAGCTTACATTGTCTAAGAAGTAAATTATCGGTTTCAATAGGAGCAACCTCACCAAACATAATAACATGAAAGATGATATGGTATCATGAATCTTGAACATCATTCATGCAAAGGTTAGCTGGTAACCCTCCACAAACCTTAACGTCCTGCTAAAATGGTGGAAAGACCTCGTGTGTAGTCTATTTAGAGACTCTTAACCATTTTCACACATCATAAGAGAATTAGCATGAAACAACCTCAATGCACTACTATATGACTGAAGGGTATTTTTAGGCCTATTTATGTCCCTAAGAGCATTAATAATTTCCTAGAGGGAATATAAAGTGATCTTGGCTCTAGTGATATCATTCACCACTACTAATAGGCATGATAAGCGATCCACGTCCTCCTAAATGCTATAATTGTAAACTAGGTATTTAAGGGCATCTTAACGGTTTATAACTTACATTCTTGTTTTAAGGATTTTCTAGACTAATTCATGGGATTAATCATAATCTAGGAGCACGAAAGTTCAGCTCTTTAAGCAATACTCATGATCCATGGGTTCTCGATTCACTGGAAATGTCCTAACATGATAATTGTGACATAACTCTAACTGAAAATTGAATTTCACGTTTCGCCAAGAGAGGGAGAGAGTTTTTCCGACGAGCCACGTGTCCGCTGGCGATAGAAGAAACGTGTCTGGACCAAAGAGGGACACAAGTCAAGTTTTGGGTGGAGCCACGATTCGTACGCAACATGGAGCAATGCAGCTTCGTCCTTTCCGTGACAGCCTGACCCAACCCACAAACTCGAGTACTGATCCACGACACAGCGAAGCAACCGACCCGCCGTCCAACCTGAACCGCCATCCGAAACCCAGTCAGTGACTCGCGACTGCAGATTTCTGCCCGCGCATGGCACTCGCTCGTGAGATCTGCAACTGGAATCCTCCTGGGTGCGTGGGGCGCGTGGCAGGTTTGTGTAAGCTCCTTTTTAGCCCGTTCGACTTCTTTTTGTTCGATTTTTATCCCGATTCTAATTCTTACCATATTTTTATATGTATTGGGACCTAATTCGAAAAAATCGATATTTTTGGACATGCTATTTGTGTAGAAATGCTAAATGAAGGGTATCTGTCAATTATCTAAGTCACCGTACCGATTTTTAGGAAGCAATACTTGTAGGGAACGCTTGGAATACATGCATGCTAGTGAATTTACCTTAGATGGTAACTTACCATGAATGAATTGAAGTAATGTGATTATATTGATTTTGGTTGTAATATGTGAAGCATTATGAGAATGGTCAGAGTGTTGCACTTATGCTTTAAACTTCCGCTATATATATATATGTGCGTGTGTGTGTTTAATTCATGCTGAAAGAGATGAGAATTTGTGAACTCTGTGGCAAGTTTTTAAGCTTAGGATGCGAATAGAGCCTACGAGTAGGTAGTATAATTTTTATACTCATCCCTATTTTTCTATCTTTTTCAAGTGTTTGCTTGCAACTGATCGAGGTGAAAGAGCGTTCGAGAGCTGTCCGGTCACAAAGAGGGTCATTCAGATTGATAAATTAATATTCGAGAACTTTCTTACTCACACAGAATGAGATATTAATTAGAAATAAAATGTGATTAAGGAAAATTGATAGATGAAATATTTATTAAA